TCGCTAGGAGATAAACGGCTTTTTAAACTTTTTTCGTTGCAAACTTTTGTATCATTTAGCACTTCCTCAGAGTGAAACAATTACCTTTTCAACTATTTTCTTACAATTTTCATTTAAAATATTGATCTTGTATGCTGCGTACCCAAAAGTGGAAAAGCTATGGTGCAATAACAGCGTCACAGCTGATGACACCCAATAACAGAAAATAGATGCAGAACAAAACGTAAAAGGCAACAATTTGTGTAAGAGCAAATTAAATATTGAATCTGTGAGATAAATTCGATAGGGTCCCTAAGGTCAGCCGGGTATCAGCCGCCTCTTTCTTTATCCGTTGTCTCGATGATTGCATAAGCAAAGTAGGAGTGGGAGTGGGAGAGGAAACAGGAAAGATGTAAACAATATGCAAAACACAACGAAGGCGTGTGGGCCAGACTCAGAAGGAAACCCAGGAATGCATATCACGAATACGCAGTGGAGTTCGGTACATGACTTTGCATATTGAGGAGCAGTAAAAACACAGGGCGGATTCTAGGGAACAAGGTCAACCTTTATCAATTTAACATCAAATGTTCATAAATCCCGGCTGGCAGCTTGAAATTTGAATTCAGTATTTGCTCAGCATAAATGTTCAATAAATGTCGCAGAATAAATATTTAATAAACATAAGCGAGATGGAAACATTGATGGCAAACTACACGGCCAAACATTGAGATAAAATCTAGGCAAGCAAATCCCCCTAGTTTTAAGTCTCAATAGCGACGTCAATTTGCATTTGATGGGGAATGGGAAATTAAAGGGAGAAATGCTTGAGCTTTCACCGTTTATTGATCGACGATTGACATTGCATCAATATCGGGCAAAAGTTAACAAGCGGCAGGCAATAACGAGCCGGTATATGATACTGTAAGTGTACGATTTAAAAGCTTTTTCCTGCTTTTCCTCATCACTTGTTTGTCTTTCGTTTTCTGTTTGTTGTCCCGTCTCGTCTCCTGAATTTGGTCTTAATAAGAGAACAGAATCCAGCTAAAACTGTTGGTAAAATATCCTGCAGGAGCAAATCGATTTGCGCCCTTGAGCAGGGCAGAGATATTCCTCAATTTCTCAATCAAGCATTAATTATTTACGTTATTAATATCCAATTAATATGCGATATTTTGAGCAACTTTTCTATACAATTAATTAAATGTCCGACCCCTCCTCGTCCGGGGTAACACACTTTTATGTCACATCAGCGAATTGCAGTTTGCTGCACACCCAGCGGAGCTGCCTATGCACACTCATTAACACAACAATAAAGTACAATCGCCGCCCTCCATTCCCCTTGAGGGGCGTGGACAATTAATGTGACTGACACACATGCAGATTTTGCCGCCGTTCGCGTTGTCATATTTGATTTACAGTTGCAATTTACGCACTTTCCGCAGGAGGAGGACCTGGATCGGGAGTGAGGATGGGTGGATGGGAGGAGCTCGGGGCTAGCCGACAGCTGTCCACGTCAGCATCCGGCTTCTGTTTGATGTTGTTAATTGATTTTCAAAGTCAACTGGCGTCCTCCAGGGGGAGGGGGGAGGTGGTAGGTGTCCTGCGGGAGGAGCAGGCCTGCTTTCGCTTTCGCCACGCTCGGAGATTAGCAGGGCAGTGTAAAATGCATCTCCATTGAGGCGCAAGCGACATAAAACCAATTCCCAATCCGCATTCGCTGGACAATTTACAGACTGTGTATCCCCCTCCCCCTCTCTCCCTTCCCTCCCCTCTCCTGACGTGCATTGTAAGTGCAGTGAAGCGCACTTGCAGCTGCAATTGCCGAGTGGATTTCGGAGTTGCTCCTGCAGCACGGCTCGTGGGGGCAGTGGGTGGTGGGCAGTGGGAGGTGGGCGATCCGCAGGACTAAGGGACTCCTGTTTGTTTTATGTGTGGCAATTGTCAGCGTCCCATCGACATGCGACTGTATCTGTTGTCTGCCTGGCATGCGGTTCAATCAAAGCGATTTTCAATGTCCACAAAATTTCGCAAAAGGACATTTTGGTAATTTCAACGACGTCACTCTGCCAAACCAGGAGCGGACTTGATTAGTTGCGGTTTTCAAGGCCCATAAGCTAGTATGCTTATAAAACATTTTAGCTGCTTTAACTCCAAATACTCCTTCTGACCATAAAAAAACGAGTTGAAGTCATAGTTTTGCTCTTCTGTTAAATCGAATTTTTAAAATATATACGTTCCTCTATTAGGATATTGGAGGGCTCATCATATTTTAAGCAAACGGACTTAAATTTTTGAACATAAGTTTGCTGCGCTGTGAAAAATTTATTTAAGACTCTATAAAATATGATTACTTTTGATTAGCATTAACAATTGTTCATACATGTAAGCAATTGTTACTAAACATTTCCGTTTCTACGCTAATGGGTCCCACAATTTAACATTTTTTTAAACATATTCCTTAAGAGTAAAAAGGTAAGGTAATTATAAGCTATGTTTTGATAGACTTGGATTTGGATGTGCTTCCGGTCATCGCCCATTATCCCCGCAATCCACCACTGCTCGCTGGTCCTGCTCTTGTTGTTGGTAATGAGTTTGGTTTTACTGTTTAAATTTAAACGTGTTGAGCGCCGGGAGGGGGGCGGGACAAGGGTTGGCTCGCAAGCGGTTGGCTACAGTTCTAAAGTGTATTTGCATTTACCGCTAAATGCATTGCAACAGGGCCATGGAGGGGTGCAGGGAAGATGGGAGGGATTGCAGCCTGCGGGAGGGAAAACATGACAGTTGCATTAATTTTGATTGCGTAAATATTTTAAGTGTGCGGATTGCGAAAGCTCTCTCAAAAATGTTTGCCCAGAGACCATTGCCTGTTGGTGGGTTGGGCTGGGCTGAATGAATTAAGTGATTGCAACTGAGATGGGCTGATTGTGAAATCTGGGTGAGCCCAACTTGCTCTGCCAGCGAGGCCAATGCCTATTTAAAGTTTGTTGAAGGACTTGCAGCTAATGGTGAACCTCCCGATGCCTGGGCTTGGTTCGATGAACTCCTGAATGGAGTGGAACTCGAGCAGTGGCAACTTTTCTAATTAAACAACAGCCCACTCCACCCTCATTTTCATGGCCCTCCTGATTGCTCTTCCCGTCCACAGTTGTTGCTAATTTCAGACGCTAATAAAATGATTCAAGCCACAAATGTTTGTGGGCTAAAAATGCTATGAAATTTATGAGCACGTAGCTGACATAAAACTTTCCGTACCCCTCGTTCATCCATCGCTGCCGCATGATGTGATAATTTACTCAACAGCCTACACATCTAACACGCTCCGGAGACAATTTACAAGATGCAAACATCAAATTTTATGATGTCTAGGCAATAATTAATCGAGATTTGTTGTGGAGGTGACTGAGGCTGAGAGCTCGTAAAACTTAAGCAACTTCTTAATGAATATTAACTTAACTTTACTTTTATGAATTCTCGCCCTTTTTTTCCCTCCTAATCCTTACCCGTCTCGACTTTTTTTGTAATGATTATTCTATTTATTTGCCACTTCTACCGTTTATTTGCTCGTAGCAGACCCTGTCTGACCTTAGCAGCTCAACTGCAATTAAACCTTAACCACATTATCTCCAACTCCTTTCCTTCCCAACAGCCCCATTTCAAGTTTTTCGCTTTCGGTCGACCAATACCGCAAAGTCTGCGGCATGTGGAGAATTTTCCCATAAGACTGCAATTTTGTCCAGAGTATTGTTTAAAGGGGCACATCAGCATTCGGCTGAACTTTGAGGCGGCGGAAAACTGACATACCCTTTTGTGAGAGGTATAACATAATTTTAATCTTTTAAACTTCATATAAATATAAATAAATATACTTTAAGAAACGAATTATAATAATGTTGGATGAATAAAAAAACAATAATATTAAATTTATCGATCTTAACTCAAGCTGATATTTTAAATATTCGCTTAACTTAAATACCGATTAAATTATTTTTTGAAAAATTATAACCTAATAATGAATTATTAATAGAATAAAGAGACTATGTGAGCCCCAACATAGAAGTGGATGGAAAATGGTCGGGAAGATAAACTAACAGACTAGACATGTTGATGTGGATTTTTAATAATTTCTTTCATCCAAAGAGTATTAAAATATTCATTGATGCCAAGTTTGATATGGTGTGGTTTCTTCTCTCCATTGGCTAGACATTATCTGGTTTGAGAGAGAAGGAGTGTTCTAAGGGAACAAAGAGCGGAGCAGTCGAGTGCTTTGTGGTGATAGCTGGAAATTAATTAAATGTCGCGGCGAATGAAGTTAAAATAAAAATGTCGAAAGCTGCTTAGGGAGTACTTTTAACAAAATGATAGCTTAGAGCAGAAGGCCTTGGCTTATCAGGGGATATTAATAAGGGTATAAGTCGAATGGATACTCAAGAAGTTCGGCTGAAGAAGTTTCCTTCTGGCAACTCGTCTGACTGACATTCGTTTCCTTTTTGGGCCATGAAGTTCCTTGTTGCACTTTTCCGAGTGCGGTATAAACAATAATAGCGAAATACTAAGACAAAGCGAAGAACGATTTGGGCGGCAAAAGAAAGCACTTTCTTTCGCTGAGTACCCTTTGCAGCAGAAAAATTGAAACTTCTGACTTCCGCACTAAAAGTTTAAATCCATTTCCGACCGAGCTTAGATTCGAGGCGAGAAATTAATTAGAGTTTACTGAGTCACGCTTCCCTCCCTTGCATAGTGCAAACGCGATATCTTTAGCTCCAATCTGATTTGTTTCTTGTCTGTTTTTCTTTGTTTAGTCTTCGTTCCTTGTTTACTACAATTTATTGGCCAATTCGCAAACATTTTTCAACAAAATATTTGCTAGTATCTCAGTTTTTAAGCCCACGTCTTATAATATATTTAATTTACAGCTTAAACTTCAAGTTGTAATCAGGTGCCTTTAATTTCTAATAACGGTTGCAACCCTCCTAAAAGATCTAACCAGATACTAACCGAATTTCTCTCTTCTGTTGCAGGTCTCAAGGATCCAAACCTGGACAGGCATACCAGTAAAGGTGAGTTTCGGTACAGCACTCTACCCCGATCAAAAATTAATTAAGAAGCCACTAGAGATGTAAATAGTCTGTGATGGTAACAAACCGAAATTTGTTCTGCTCTCTCAAAGCGACCGAGACAAAGGTCCAACCCACACACTAGCTCCACCCCCGCTGCTCGCCGCAATAACTATAAATTCCCAGGCCCAAGGCAACCACAAGACATCACCCAAGCCCCTCAAAACATAAACCAAGCGGCTCTTTAAAACGCAATCAAGCTGAAAATTAATTAAAATTTTCAAGCGGGATATGAAATTAATGCGCAGTCGAAGGGGAATGACGGTCCTCCCTTCGAAGGCGAGCGGGTTGTGCAAGGTAAATCCGAGGTTTAAATTAAAACACACTTGTTACTGTCTTAGACGCTGCCGTCTCCGTTGGAAGTCGTCGTCTCGATTTCATTAAAAATGTTTTTATGCTCCCATTATCCTTTCACTCTGGCGCTGTCGCCCCACTCTCCCCTTGGCCCCCTACTCCTCCCAGGCAGCAATTTAATTTGGCTATGAAACACTTGCCGCATCCTTGACACTTTCACTTTCCCATCCCGCGCGAGCCCACCTTTCGCTACCCCTCAACCCATTTCACTTCAGGCGATGGCTTGTTTTAAGCAGCTTAAGCTTGTCGTCGACATTCGCCCGAGCTGTTGTTGGCGCTGTAAAAGTGCTCATAATTTCACGCTAAGCGAACACACACGCGTCCTTCTGGTCCTGTGCTGCTCTTGGCTTTCCACGGCTAGCTCGTCGGAATCACAGTTTTCGGAGTGGCGTCGTGGAGGATATCACCGAAATGCAATAAAGTTGAGTGCGGATTCGCTGAAAGCTCCATTTGAGTCTGTACTTTTTGCTTTGCCTGCCCATTCCTCACGACTTGATCCAAGGATGTTGTCTTCCCAATACCAATATGCGAAAAATAAATCAGAGAATGTCTTATGCGAGGAATCAATCGATTCCTTCTTGGCCAAGTATGTTGGACAAAGTTTTGGCTTGTACTCCATCCCGTGCTCTACCGCTGGGTCATCCCGATGGCTGTTGTCTTTATTACATTCTGATGAATGTTGTGATTTGACTTTCGGCGAGCCAGAGCCAGCGGAAAAAATAATACTCATTGCATGCTCTCGGGCCATTGAATGGATTCATTTGGGGTATTCATATGCTTTTAACAGAATTAGTCTAGCCGGCTAATGTGATAAATGGATGCGGCTGGCAGGAGCTGAAGTCTGGTGAACCCTTCATAATTATACTTTGAGCTCATAGTCGGAGATGGGCTGCAAGTCATTCCGTAGGCACAAAGGCCCTTCTTTCCTGCCTCTCTCTGCCAGCTCCTCCGCCCCAAGGAAACCCACTTTAATCTCATAAATCATGAGCAAGACGAAACTTGCAAGGCAGGGGCTCCAGCGGCAACCACACATATCATAACATTTAACATATTTCACTTAGGCAAACATTTAATCCGGCATCTTGTCTGGCCTCCTGTCCTCCACCTGAGCACAGACCACGTCGTGAATGCAAACGCGGAGGCTACATTTTCATTTCCGCTGGCGTTTTTATTTTTATTTCATGCTGCACGTTATCAAATAATGAATATCAAATGTAATGCTTATCATTTATTTGCCAAACCGAAACCGAACCGGGAGCTATGAAGTGGGAACTGGGGGAGCTGCCTTGTTCCCCCTCCAGGTGGCAACATATTATAATATTTACTTAATTTTCATTTCTAATTCGGTCGCTCTCCCTTCGTGTGGCAGCCGCATGCGGCACATGATACCGCTACTCAGGACGAGGAGTGGACCAAGACCTTGGCATTGGCAGGCAGTAGCAGTGGCAGGGGAGGGGCAGGGGCAAAATAGGAAAAAACCTGCATAATAAGCAAGTCTAGAAGCCAAACTTTGCTGTTTGTGGGCCCAAAGTCAAGTGTTTGGGGAGAGTGATTGGGTGGGTGGCTTCAGTGGGCCGATTGGTTGGGGGAGGGGTGTTGATTCTTGCAGGTGGCTTAAGCTGCGTCTAAAGCGATAACGCAAAGTATTTGAATTTTTAATATAACGAAATGCGGATCTCAACGAACAGGGTCCCCATCCCGCAATCCATCTGCTGCTCGCGCAGACATGGACAAGAAAGCGCTGTGTTGAATCCCAGATACTCTGCTCAATGGGAAATTCCATTCCATGGCTCACGAGTATTTCGCAGTGCTGATATATTCAAATACGATTCGTGGCCGCCATTTTCCTGTCACTGGCTGTGAAAATTCACAGCTTTTCCTCCATCCGGGTTTGGCTGGCTAATCTTTTGGTCAGCGAGCAGCCCAACGCCCCCTAGCACGTCTGTCGCCCGTTGTCTATTCGCTTTTTGAAATTCCAATTTGAATGGTTCGTGGTTTTCTCCCGGGCTGTTAGTGGACGGTTTTGGGCTGAGGACGTCCTTTCCAGCAGCCAATATTATATTATTCAAGCCATCGCATTTGGCTACCCCCCTTCTGCCAGTCCACCGCCATCGTTCGTTGTACTTGAAAATCGTAATTAGAATTGGTAATGTATTCAAATTGACTTTCATTTCCGTTTGCTCGTCGGTTGGTTCGTTTGTTTTACTTTTGGCATTCTTCATCAGGATTTTTGCGCTTTTCGGCGGCTGACGCGCCTTTCGCAGAGAGCCATGATTATAACCATCGATTCGCACTATCCAATCGCAAAGAAAAGTGATCAACTGGCCAGCCAGGGGGCCAGACAAAGGCACTTTCGATTATCGAGGCGGGCTGATTCTCCGGCCATATTTCAAAATCTCTGAACGTAAAAGTTTGCCCTTGCAGACAGTGGCGGAAAAGCAAAGAAACTGAAACTTTTCGCTGGCAGGCGGAACGCTGCAAAACCGTAAAGAATTCAACTAATAAAAATCAGGCATTCAAGTGCGAAAAAATCGCGAAAAGCATCATCAAATAATGTGCCACTCAAACCGATTCAACCGCCCCCTCTGCGCACCGAATCGCAGTTGAATCCACCGAAAGACAAATAGAATAGCAAGGAAAAGTAAAAGGCAAGTTGGGAACAAAATAGAACTATGCTGGCAGCAGCGAGAGAAAAGTTTGGGCCGAGATGGCAGCGTGACGCAATGCGCCCCCAACCATGAAGATCCGGCGGGATTACCCAAGGAGCAGCTCGTGGCACGGGCGCATCACTAGCCGCGGGCCGGAGCCATACGTCATCGGGAAAACTTCGATGGTTTGGCCGGGAGCGCGTGTCTCTCTATTTTCCTTGCGGATGGCGGTGGCCACATATTTTCTCTGCCACGGAGCGTGCGAGGTATTTTCCCCATGTCCGGATGTGGCTGCCTCTGTGTCTGCGCGGCGGAAAAGCAATTTTCCTTTGTGTCGTGCACAGGTCTTCAGTTGGCATTGTCTTCCGCTCGCCGCACTGAGCTGGCAAATTTGTTGCAACCGAAATAAACACTTTATTAAATGCATTGGAATAAGCGCAGCGCTCGCAGGAGGAAAGAAGTCCTGCGAGGCTCCCCTTGCCACATGTGGCAGCGGTGGCGGCGGGATAAACTTTGAGCCAAGTGAATTTGGTGCTAAGCTCAAGTAAGAGATTCGACGCCAGCAAAAAGGGTATTGCTAATGCACTCGGAGAAGCTTAAGCTGGGAAAGTGAAATGCTAACTCAGAGCCCCCAAGCCCCTCTTCCCTCAGGCAAAAAAGTCGCCACATAAATATCTTCGGCGAACAGGCAAAGGCCTTTACAGATTATTATTTATTTATCTTCTGATTTCTTTGCATTCTGCTTTTCATTTGCCCCCAGCTCACGACCCTCCTGCGCCGATAATCGAAGGCAAGAATCAAATTATGCTAGAATTGAGATTGATTTTTTATTCAATTTTAATGCGACAAATGCAGGCAGATAAACAGACGACAGCTCGGAGGACACACATGGCCCGAAGCCCCTGCTCCCTGGCCCCGAACCAGGATCCAGCCAGCCTCTGCGAAACACGTGGCTTGAATGGGGGTGCGGATGGGGGGGGACTGGAACTGAGATTGGGAGGTGTGGCTGGGAAATTATAACGGCGATGGCACACAAGGGAGTAGCACTGGATTAGGTCGTCCTCCAGGCCAGGTCCTTATGGGAAACTTTTTGAATATTACAGCATAAATCGATTAGCTTCTATCAGCCTGTGTGGGTGTCGGAGTTCGTGTGTGGTGTCTGTGTTGCCACTGATTGACACTTGAAGCGAATTTTTTGCTTGCCTCGCTGGCTGCTGTTTGCCGATGTCGCTCAAACTGCTCACTCCAGCTCCTCGCCCGCATCCGCATCTCCGAGGGCATTGATATGCGGCCCAAGCACTCGACTCCATGCAACGTTGGCCGGGCTTCATCTAATAAGCACCCGTACGTAGCTCCACTCCCTCGGCGATCCAGCTAGGTATACAGCCTTATCGTGAGCTGGCAAATTGGCTGCCTGGCTCTTTTAACGTTAGTCGACCTCGATTTCCAGCATAAATTGAAAGGAAATTAAACATTGAGTGGAGGGGAAATGAGCCCTCTTTGAGCTGCAGCGGAAATTGTTATGTGATAATTGGGTATTGCGTTTCCATCGATTTGCCCCAGAACTTAGCCACAAAGCGGGCCAAAGGTGGCGCAACTATGGGAATCGAAATCATCTGGCTTCGGTGTTTGTCCAAGGGATTATCGCGTTTCCTGTTTGGGCACAAAATTACATTTCAATTTGGATCACTTCACATCATCAACGCACCAGGAACCCTCTCCGACAACCAGTCAACAAAATCTGCTGAGCAAACACTCAAAGCATTAACCTCTGAGTCGGGCAAAACAGAACTGAACTGAACTGAACTGCAATTAGCGCTTACATACACGTACGCAAGGGTAAATATGACAATTTTGCAGGAATGTGGGCCAGGGTGGATCGAATTTGATCGGGATTCGAGCCGGGCATAAGGTATAATTTATTAGAAATCAAAGGGAAAA